TACTGGGAAGGTCAAGGCTTTTGGCACCGATTTGAAAAAAAACAAGGTCTTGTTTTTGGTTACCCAACAGCTCCTTGCAGATAAGGAGGGTGGTCAAGCTTGTGGCATGTTCTTGCAGTTCCTTGAAGCTTTCCTTACCACTGAGTCTGAGTTCTTGAGATGAAGAAACTGGCCAGAAAAACATCCTGTTGCTTCACTTGCCCGTGCGCCAACTTGCCCTTGCCTGCATGCGAGTGGGAATGAGCAGGCTGGGCAGTGTCTGGGGACAGGGGAGCATCATCCTGCTGTGGCTCTGAGGCTGGCACCCCGAGGGGTGTTGTGGGTGGAGTGGTGAGGTGCTGGATGCCCTGACCTGGCAGGGCTCTGCCTGCTAGAGGAGGAGTAGGGAATGTTGACATCTGCACCTTCTGTCTCGCACTGGGCTGTGTCTGACCTCGGCTGTGCTCAAGCTTTGCTAAAATCTCCAAAGTCAGGGTCCAGATGTGTCAGTCCCCTCTGGGTTGCCTCACTGCAGACCCAGCCCAGCTTGTCCCACCTTGGCTACCGTGTGCTTTGCCCTGGTGGCCAGCACTCCCTGTGTTTGCCCCCCTCATCCCAGCCCCTGTAACTCGCTCTGGTTTCCCTGCAGCCGTCACGATGCCGCTGTCCCAGAGCAGGGCTGGGCAGACCCCGTGCAGCAGCAAGGCCTGCAGGAACCTCTTTGGCCCCGTGGACCACGAGCAGCTCCAGCATGACTTTGAGGACAGCATAAAACAACAGCTGGAAGAAGCTCAGCAGCGCTGGAACTTCAACTTTGAGACAGAGACTCCCCTGGAAGGGCCGTTCAAGTGGGAGAGGATCCTGGTGGCTGAGCAGCCGCCCCAGGAGGCTCACAGCCTGGTCAGGGCTGTCATCAGCAGTGACAGCAGGAGCTCTGTGGCCCACAGGGTCCCCCCCAAGGAGCGTGTTGGCAGGATTTGCCCCGAGGAGGCTCAGCAGAGCTCGAAGGTTTACAAGGGTGGTTCCCTGCAGAGCTTGAAACGTGGGCAGACCACGATCAAAGGTGAGTGCTGGGGGTTGGGGTCACTCCCTGGGGGCTTGGTGGCATTGATGTCATGGCAGGGACAGACAGAGGGGACTTGGGTGCCAGAGCCCTGCCTGGCTCTTGGGCATGGGGAGGGCACCACCCTCCCTGGATCTCTCCTGGGGAAGCAGAGCCCATCTTCCAAAGGGAAAAAGGCCACCACCTGGGTGCCTTTTGGCTGCTAGGGTTTGTGCAGGGGACTGGCATTGGGCCTGTCGGTTTTGTAGCTGAAGATGCCTCCAAATTTATCACCTTCAGTTCCAATGGCCCGACCCAGTCATAGAATCACAGAATGTTAAGCGGTTGGAATGGATTTTAAAGATCATCTTTAAGGTCCTGTGGGCAGGAACACCTCCCAGTAGCCCAGATTGCTCAAAGCCTTTATCCAACCTGGCTTTGAACACTTCCAGGGTTGAGGCACGCAAAACCTCCCTGGGCAACCTGTGCCAGTATCTCACCTCCCACACAGTGAAAAATTTCTTCCTGTCCTCCATGGTCAGGGCCTGGAGTAGAGCTGCAGATGAGACAAAGAGCAGAGATGATGCAGACTTACAGCTCTGCTCTCCAGCAGCTCTGCACGGGGGCTTTAGGGTGAAACCCACCTGGGCTGGGCTTGGGGTGCCTCCCTGGGGACACCTCCCTCTTCCTGCCTTGCTGCTCCCAGCGGGCTGGAGCCACTTTCCAACCCTTTCCTTCTTCCTTCCAGACTTCTACAGTGCCAAGAGGAGGATCGTCCCTGCCCGGCCCCGGCCGTGACTCGCTGGGGCAGTGCTGCCCCCGGGGCGAGCGTGGCTCCCCTGCCCTGTGCTGTGCTCTCCTGTAGCAATGTAGAGTCTGTAGTTCCCTATTTATGAGTTGCTCTGGGGTCCTGAGGGACCTTCACTGTGTGCAATGTGGAGGAGGAGCCCCACGGTGGGCTGAAGGAGGACTGAGATGGACCTGGTGGGATTAAGGCACTGCCCTGCCTGCAGAGAAGTGTCCTGTGCCCTGTGCCTGTGGGTCCAAACGCCGTCCTTGTGCTGTCCTGCTGTCCAGCCAGGGTCTGTCCCCTGCTTATGGGCCGGTCCTGGGGGACACTTGTGTCCCCACCACCTGGTGGCACCAGATATCTTTAAGAAACGTCACTGGTGTGGTTTGTAGAGCCCTGGGACACCCCTGCTGCTGGCACATGGGGGTGGCCCTCTGTCCCAGCAGGCTGGACCCGAGCACTTGTCCGTGTGTGGGAGCAGAGTGACGTGGAGGCTGCTCCTTCCCACGGCTCTGGGCAGAGGCAGCTGTTCCCTGGACAAACCTTCCTTGGGGTGACTCCCCGGGAACAGCCACCAGGGACCAGCAGTGCCCCCAGGAGGCTTTGGGATCCCCTGCACTCTGCTGGCCCCAAATCCCACTTTCTCACCTTGTTGTTGGCTTGTTGAGTGGTGCTGCTTGCCCCCATGCCCCTGCCTGCCTCAACACTGACACTGGGCTGGGGAGCCCCTGCTCTGGCTCTGCTGGGCTCCTCTAGGAAGAAGTCCTGCTCAGCAGCAGGGATGATGCTGAAATAAGGAATTGTAGCTTGTTTTCCTGGACTTTTTCTCTTTTGGGGCTGGCGGGGAGAGGACCCTCAGCTGGCTCTGCTCTGGGACCGAGGGATGGCCTGGATCAGAGGCTGCTCAGTTCCAGCACCGAAGGATGAGTCCCTGAGGGACTCGACACTGTCAGGTCTCGGCACTTTCGTGGAGTTCATCTGCTGCTCTGCTGGATTTGGACTCTGGAAACTAGTGCAAGATGGTCCCAGGAAGAAAAGGGACAGGGTTGATCTCCCACCTTGCACCACCATGCACTTTGCTGTCGGTGAAGCTGCCAAGCTCCCAGCACTAAATGTTTATTTATATTTAAAATAATGCTATGAAGTGTATGTGAGGAGAGGGGAAATACCTGTTTGACTGTAAGTGTTAACTCTGAATAAACACCTGTGCAAAGGCATTCTGGGTTAATGTGGGATGGGGAGCAGGGCCTGGCTTGGGGAGGGGGTGTTCCAGGGGCTGGGGATCCCTCTGGGGGTGCAGCCCTGAGCTGGCATCTGCCTTTTTGAGGGCTGAGAGGAATAAAGCCTTGCCACAACCTCTGTGCTTGACCCCATTCCCTGGGGACTGGTCTGGTGCTGCCACCATGTCCCCAGCAGAAGCCAGTGCCACCTGTGTGGGCTGTCCCTGTGGCCCCTCTGTTGCCCCCATGATTCCCCCTTCTCCCTGTGACCCTGTTCCCCCTCACCCTCACCACCCAGGCCCGTGGTGATTCCCCTCCAAGCTGCTCCCCTCCCTTACCCCTTTAGAGGGGTGCTGGGGGCCCAGGCCCACAAGGGTGACCCACGCTGTGGGATGGGGACACCGGCATGTGCTGGCACTGCTGCTGGAACGTGCAGTGGCATTTCCTGAGGTGGGGCTGTGAGCCCAGGGGAGTCAGGGATGTCTCTACCCCTGGCTGCTTCCTTGGAGGACTGGGCAAGGCTTGGATGCAGACTCAGGCTCTGGTTCATGTCATAAATTACCTCATTTGGAGAGGATCCAGCTGAAAAGAAAGCTGATGGCAATGAACAGCTTCATGTCATTGTTCAGCTGAGGATCCCTAAAGCATTTGCTGTCCCTGGAGTGAGGCATGACACCCGTGCAGGCCCATGGCCCTTGACACACACTCAGCCTTTGAGCTGCTGCTGAGTCAAACCCTACAGATTTAGCCCCTGTAATCTTACGTCAGTCCTTCCAAACCCCCCCTGGCTGCTGCCAGGAGCTCCCCTCTGCTGTCACCTCCCGTTTGCCAGGAGCAGTAACAATGAAGGAAATGAGAAATAAAGCAGTGAAACCCCCTTGTCTGTGGTTGTGGCTCTGGGGACAGCCAGGGTCTGCCTGTGCTGGGCACCAGGGCTTGAGCTCTGTCCCTGGGACACTCCAGGACTGTGTCCCCTCAGCTTTGGGACAGAAATCAGAGATGGGCTCCCAGCAGCTGGGGCATGGATGGAAACCTCCCACTCTCAGCCCAGGCTGTGTTTTGCTGCTCCCACCCCAGCCTGGCCTCACACAGAGCAGGGATGCTGAGGGTCAAACCCCCACAGGAGGAGGGTCAGGTGCTTCCCTTCCCTTGTCCACATTCAATCCCCTTTCACTGGCACCTTCCAGCATCTCCTCGGGGTTGGGTCATGCCCTCTGTCCCGGGCTGTGCCCTCTGGTGACATCTGCTGATCTGCTGGAAGCACGATGCCAGAGCCTTGCTGGGCAGAGGGCACAAATTGAGCTATCCCAGGGATATTCAGGGTTTTCCATTCAAAAGGAAAAATTTTCTCCTCAAATCCTTGGGGAAAACCAAAATGCAGCCTTCTCTGTGCAGCAGCAAACAGTGCAGAGGGTTGGAGGGTGAGAGGACACACTGAGCCCCCCAGCCTGACCGAGGGGATGCTTCAGTTTGGGGTAAGCAGCCCCAGCTTTGCCCAGGGTGTGCAGAAGAACCAGCTGAGCTTCAGCTGGCCCTGATGGAGCAGAGGGACCTGAGCTGGCTGCTGCTCCTTTAGGTTAAACAGCAAATGAGCAGGGGGTGGCTGGTTCCCAGTGAGGGATTTCACCAGTTTGGATGGGCAGAGAGAGTTGGGGCATCCGCTGCCAGCCCACAGCTCCTGTCCTGGGAGCCTGGGCTCAGATCTGCTGTGTTCAAGTTATGCCCTAGAGATAACAGTGTTTCTGTTATCCTGCCTGAGTTTTCTTCATGTTTTGCAGTTAAAGAGCAGGGAAAACGCCTGTGGTCCATCTGACTCATGTGTCTCATGAAGCAGAGAGGCTGCAGCCCATGGGCAACCAGTGGGTTTAAAGGCAAGTTTATAATTTAGGCAGGAGCTTTAAAAAAAAACCCATCAGAGTACAGTACAGGGGGCACATCTTCAAATTCTGGGGCCAAAGAGCCTCTACAGAGGGGATTTTCAAGCTGTTCTGTCTTTGGTGGGATGTTATAATCCAAGGGCTATAGATAATTTTGTATTTTGGGTTATTTGGAGCCTTAAAATAACAATTGCTGTTTGTCTGGTGTTCTTCCTCCAACTCCAAACACTGCCCAGCCCCAGACATTGCAAACCAGGAAAGGACAGGGACTTTGCTGCCTTCCTGATGGCACTGGCAGTGCCTTTGCAGAGCTGCCTTGGGACCTGGGGACTCTGGGGACTCCGTGGCCCTCTGGATGGGTCCTTCCCACACGCCACTTGCAAGGCAGCAAACAGGAAATGTGTGAGCACCGGCAGTTGGTGTCACCCCAGAACGGAAGGTGCCTTGAGTAAGAGAGATGAGAGCGGGGGCAGCTCCGTCCCTCTGAGCTGGGGAGCCCTTGGCCCCCTCTGCCCCACACCGAGGGTCCCTCGTGGGGAGGGTAAGTTCTGCTGCTCTGGGGGTGGCTCGGGCATCACCTTAAAAACTGAAAAGTGGGGGAAATAAGGGTTTTTTCTTGCTGTTGGTGATCCAAGGGGGCTTTTTCCTGATGCATGTGAGGGACTGTGGCTGAGGGCTCCTTTCTGAGGGCTGGGAGCAGAGCAGGGTGCTGTGGGGGAGGCAGGACACTGGGAGCTGGTGATGCCATGAGGGACCCTGCTTGGCTGGGAGGGGCACAATTCCCATCCCATCCCATCCCATCCCATCCCATCCCATCCCATCTCTCTCCCTGCTCGCTCAGAGCCTCCATCATGCTGTGGGCTCAGCTCACCTGTCCTGGAGCTGGAACAGGAACCAGGGGCTTCTCCATGCCCTAAACACCCCCTGCTCCCCAGAGCTCCCACTTCTGCTGTCTTAGAGGCTGGGACAAGGCTGTTCCTGGTCCTGTGGAACTCCAGCAACTCCACAAGACCCTCTTGCTTTAAGGGGCAGGTTTTGGGCCCTGTTCCCATTTCTGATCACACTGGGATTTGGCAGGATCTGTTTCTCGTGGCAAAGGAAGGGGGCAGAGGGCTGGAGGAGCTGCTGTCCCCCCAGGCTGGGAGTGGAGCACGGCCCCAGCTCTGCGTCACCGCTCGCCATGGCTGTGGTTTCCTTCCCTCGCAGTTTCAGCTTTGCCACACAAAGAACAGCCCCTCTCGGGGATGGCATGGTGGCTGTTGGTGACACGGCCACCCACCCAGCCTGGGGACAGGGCACTGGGGTCCCCAGCTCAGGCCCCACAAGCCTGGGCGAGCAGCAGCGTGATGGAAACCTGCCGAGGGCTCCTGCCCTCTGCCCGAGGTGACTCACAGCTGTGAAAACCGGGGGAGGAATTTTAAAAGGTGCTGCTAAGCTCTGAGAAGGCAGGGGGAACCAGCACGTCCTGCTCAGACCTCCAGCATCGCCTCGGCTGGTCCTTTGCTGCTGTCACCTCCTGGCTGTGTCACCTCCTTGCTGGTGCCCTGTGCATCCTCCACAGCTGGGGAAGAGTATGGGAAAATTTGGGATGGGTGCTCAGCAGGTGGGAGCTGGGCTGGGAGCCCCTGGGATGGCTGGCAGGAGCAGCTGTTGCTGCTGCAGATCCAGGCTCCCTTTGTGCCGTGCAATCGGAGATAAGGCCTTCCTTCCCTTCCTCTTACCAAACCCTCCTCAGCAATCAGGGTTTGGGCCCTTAGGAGCAGCAAAATTAGTTTCCAGCTTGTTCCCTCTCTGCTGTCGCCCACCAGGCTGGAGGAAAGGTGTCCAGTGAGGGCAGGGCAGGCCGAGTGTCCCCTCCAGGCCAGGCCAGGCCAGGCCAGGCCATGTCCGAGCGCCGGGCGGGCACCAAGGGCCGGCGCTTGGGCTCCAGCCGGCGCAAGCAGCTGCAGGAGGGCCCCGGGCAGGCCCCAGCACCTGGGCCCAGCGAGGAGCCACCATGGGCATCCGAAATAGTGCAGAGGGAGCAGCACCTGCTCAGTGACAGGGACACAGGGCAGGCGGCAGTCGTCACCCGCTCGGACATGCAGGTGAGGATGGGGCTGTGCCCTGGGCTCCAGCACTGCCGGGGTCACTGGGGATGGTGTGACGGGTGGGTTTTACCCTGATTTGATTTGGTTTTAGAAGCTGCAGGAGGAAGGTTTGCCGTGCAGCAGGGAGGAGCTGGAGCTTGTGTTCGATGGGCTGGATGCCGCTGGCACTGGGCGCTTGGGCACAGAGGAGTTCACAGCTGGGCTCCGTAAGTGCAGCCTGGGCTGGTCCTGGACACGGTCCCAGGGCTCTCCTGGGGGATGTGAGGTGCTGCCTTCTGTGTGGCACAGGGTGAATCGTCTCCATGACCGACTCTCAGCTCCTGGCTCACCTAGAGCAGGGTCCTGCTGTGCTGAACTGCTGTCTTGAAGCCATGGAGGGGGAAGTGTTGGGGTTTGGGCTTTGCCGTTGCCCTGCTGGGCACTGAGGGTTTGGGATATCTGTCGGCAGGGCAGTTCCTGAGCTCCCAAAATACTGCCAGGGAGCACCGGCGGAGGAAGACGGGCTTGGGCTCCAGCCGGCGCAAGCAGCTGCAGGAGGGCCCCGGGCAGGCCCCAGCACCTGGGCCCAGCGAGGAGCCACCATGGGCATCCGAAATAGTGCAGAGGGTGCAGCACCTGCTCAGTGACAGGGACACAGGGCAGGTGGCAGTCGTCACCCGCTCGGACATGCAGGTGAGGATGGGGCTGTGCCCTGGGCTCCAGCACTGCCGGGGTCACTGGGGATGGTGTGACGGGTGGGTTTTACCCTGATTTGATTTGGTTTTAGAAGCTGCAGGAGGAAGGTTTGCCGTGCAGCAGGGAGGAGCTGGAGCTTGTGTTCGATGGGCTGGATGCCGCTGGCACTGGGCGCTTGGGCACAGAGGAGTTCACAGCTGGGCTCCGTAAGTGCAGCCTGGGCTGGTCCTGGACACGGTCCCAGGGCTCTCCTGGGGGATGTGAGGTGCTGCCTTCTGTGTGGCACAGGGTGAATCGTCTCCATGACCGACTCTCAGCTCCTGGCTCACCTAGAGCAGGGTCCTGCTGTGCTGAACTGCTGTCTTGAAGCCATGGAGGGGGAAGTGTTGGGGTTTGGGCTTTGCCGTTGCCCTGCTGGGCACTGAGGGTTTGGGATATCTGTCGGCAGGGCAGTTCCTGAGCTCCCAAAACGCTGCCAGGGAGCACCGGCGGAGGAAGACGGCGTCCCGGAGGGTGCGGCTGGTGCTGCCCGGCACGGTGCTGGCAGGGGGGGACAGCGAGGAGCGCAGGCACTTCGCTGCCTTCATGGAGCAGCTGGGCACAGGCAACCCCTCTGAAGAGTAAGTGCCCTGCTTGGCACCCATGGGTGTCCTGCAGGATGGATAGAGGGGGAAAGGCTTGGGGAGGAGACCGCCACACAGGCAGGGAGCTCAGAAATGCCGTGGAGGTGCCTTTGGCCTGAGCACAGGAGCAGGGCCACAGCGACCCCAGAGCTCATCTGCCCTCACACGCCTCAAAAAGTGTGAGTTAAGTGGCTCAGCTGGCCTGGCTTTGGGGCTTCTGTGGGGTGCTCACCCCAAAACACCCTTCTCCCTGCAGACAGGAGATCTGGCAGCTCTGGGTGAAGCTCCGGCAGGACGAGCCCCAGCTGCTGGACAGCCTGGAGGGCTTCATGGCCAGGATGAGGCAGCGCATCCAAGAAGCCAGGAGCGAGAAGGAGGCTTTGGAGCTGACTCTGAACAAGTGAGTCCCCCCAGGATAGGGCACAGGGATGGGACAGGAGGGGTGGGGACAGGGATGGGGCCCTGGAGGGCCACTCCAGCCGTGTGGGGAAACCTGGGCGCTTCAGCACACCCACCAGCGGCCGGAGCAGAGGTCTGGCCAATGTTTGGGGTCGGGCTCCCTCTACAGTCACGGAAGGGATGACAAAAGGGACTCGGGCTGCCGGACTCATCGGTGCCGGGTGGCCCTCGGGCAAGCCCAGCCGCAGCCGAGGCTCCCGGGGCGCTGTGTGGGGCCCAGGGCCCGCAGCCCCGGAGCGGGGCCTCACAGCCCTCCCCGGCCCCGCTGTCGCCACAGGTGTGTGGCCGAGCACGACAAGGACGTGCAGCAGCTCTGCGAGGCCCTGGAGCAGCAGATCCAGCAGGAGCAGCAGCGGCTGCGGCAGCAGGTGGGTCCCAGCCCCTGCTGTCCCCTTGCTGGGGCACCCAGCACCCCAAACCCCCGGGCAGCTGCCGCTGGGTGAGCGGGTGCCAGTGTCCTTGTGCCACCCAGAGCAGGGCCCGGAGCCAGCAGCAGGGCGAGGAGCTGCAGCGGGCGCTGGATGCCAGCGAGCGGGAGGTGCAGCGCTTGGTCACGGCGCAGATGGAGGTGGGCTGGCCCCGAGCCCCTTTGTGGGTCAGGGGTCTCTGGGCTGTGCTGGAACACCCCCAGGGTGCTGCACAGCCCATCTCGGTGTGTCCCCAGCAGCCCTTGCTGCAGGTTGTCACACAGGACCCTCTACACCGCGTTTGCCACCCCCATCCCTGCCCTCCCCTCCATCCCCAGAGCACACAAGTTGAGTTTCCAACCCACCATCCTCGGGGAGGGGGGTGTGTGAAATTCAGCCCCAGGTCTAGAAGAGGTGGTTATGAATTCTTTTGCGTGGGGATTTTTGGCTCTGAGTGTCCCGGTTGCCACCCCACAGCTGGAGCAGCGCTGCCACAGCCTCCAGAGCTCCCAGCAGATCACCAGCACGGAAAACCAGCAGCTGGAGCAGAGCAACCAGGCCCTGCAGCAGCAGCTGCAGCACCTGCACCAGCAGCTGCAGCAGACCCAGGGCCACCTGAGGACAATGAGGGCTACAGTGGCTTGGGAGCACATGGGGGAGCCCAGGTGAGTAGCTGAGTGACCGCGTGTCACTCGTGTGTCCCCACAGGCATAATTTCTTCCTGAAATGAGTTGGATGGGCCTCAGCCATCACAGTGCTCCAGTGCTGCCCATGGTGCAGGTTAATCATGGCTTGGTGTGCAAAGCATCAGAGGAAAAAACAGGACTACCAGCACCATGCACTGAATGTGTGCCTGGAGGGCAGTGCCAGAGAGGGTGTCCTTCATCCAGGAGGGCTCAATAGGACTGATCCAAGGATTGTGGGTTTTGCTGACCTGTCCTGTCACTACCCTGACAGCCCTGGTGGCTGGGTGGGTGTGATGGAGAGGATGGAGTTCCTGTTTTGACCCTTGTGCTCTGTGTTTGCAGGGACAGAGTGGTAGCAGAGTTACCCATCGAGGTGCCAATGTCCCCACAGGTACTTCAGCTGGGTGTGTGGGGACAGCACAGGGGGCCCAGGGCCTCGTGCTGTTTTGTATGGGACTGCTGAGGAGCTCCAGAGCACAGGGTGCTCCTGCAGCACTGCCTTCCCCTAAAATCTCTCAAATGGGGCTGGTGCAGATGTTTGGGAAGGGAGGGGGTTGCACCACCTTACTTCTGGTACCCCCAAGATTTTGTGTGGGTACAGCTGGATACCTGCTGGAGAAATCCACATCATTTCAGGTGGATATTCTCCCTGACCAAGTGGTTTTTTCTGTCCTCTTCCCACCCTGTCTCCTGCAGCTGAGTCCTGGGACGAGCGAGAAGTTCCGCTCCGAGATGCGGATCAGGCTGGGATCCCAGAGCAGCGAGAGCAAAGCCAAGAGCACCCACCAAGTGTAAGGGGTCCCCTGTGTGCCCCTGGGGTCTGCGAGCTGGGGCTGAGCCTCAGGCCCTCCCTCCACCTTTCCCAGGGTGATATTTTGTCCTTTTAGCACTCCTCTCCCACCCACTCATCTCTCACCCTGGAGCTCATTTTTCTTATCCCAGCTCATCACTCCCTTGGCTCAGGAACTGGCTGTACGTGGCTGAGCATTGTCTTTTCCTGTCTGATAAAGTCAGTATGGGTACTGGGAAGGGGCCAGGATGCAGCCCTGGGTCTGGCTGCCTGTGTGTGCATCCCCCTTTCCCCTGCCCCCATTGCTGCCTGTGTGAACTCCAAGTGCAATGGGGGGAAATAAAATCAGGTTTGGAGAGGCATGGGGTGAAGATGTAGATCAGAGACCCTCTGGGACTGACTGGAGATGGGAGGGAGCTGGAGTCTGACCTGGGAGCTGGTTCATTGCCCCCATTTTCTGCCCTTTCCAGGGTTTGGGAAATGCTGCCAGCAGAAACAAACCTTTCAGGAGCTCCACGGAAAGCAAGCTCTGCAGAAGAGGACCCCTTCCCAGAACCTTTGAAAGAAGAAGGTGTCTCTGACCAAAGCTCTTTGCTAAGAGAGATGAATGATGCAATAGCAGCTCTGAGCAAACATCTGAAGGCACAGGCAGTGGGTGCAGACACTGCCCTGGCAGACACTGCCCGTCACCCCTGGGACAATGCTGAGCCCCAAACGGGGCCAGAGGCAGCAACAGCCCATGAAACAACCCCTGGGGTCATGCAGGAGACCCTCCCCGGCCACGTCCATCATGAGCTGCTGGAAGGAGACCTGCAGGAGGGGCCAGGCACAGCTGAGCTTCGTGCTCCAGATGTGACACAGGCTGGTGCGTCCGCAGGAGCTGGGCACTGCATGGCTCAGGAGCCAGGGGCAGAGCAGGCAGAGAGCCCAGGGGAGGCACAGAGGATGTTATTCCAGCAAGAAAGGGGTGCTGGTGTGGAGGAGATGGTGCTGAATGTGGCTGAACATCTGGGAGACAGCGTGGAGGCAGGAGAACAGGTGTTGATGGAGGTGGAAGGAGCAGGGTGGCTGCAGGAAACAACAGCTTGGGCAAAACCACAGCTCCTGGGAGAAGCTGAGGAAGTGGAGATAAGCCAGAGAGAAAATTTGGAGGCAGGTCTGGGGCCACCTGAGGCTGGGCAGGAAGGTGTAGCAGTGGGACAGTGCCCTGCCATGGATGAGCAGCAGCCAGGCAGGGCGCTGGGTGTGCAGGCCCCGGGCACGGAGCTGCAGGAACAGGCTGACCCTGCATCAGGGCTCCCTGGGACACTGGAAACTGAGCTGGGAGAGCACCTGGAGCCACAGCCACCATCCAGGGGGGAGGCACAAGTGGAAGCAGCCCATGGGGGTGGTGTCCCAGTGGCTCCTGGCCCAGGAGTGCTGGACGAGGAGCGTGCCAGGACGGAGATGCAGCCCCAGGGAGAAACCATGGACTCCAAAGTGCTGGAGGTGCTGCCAGCCCGAGCTGAGCGTGCAGGGAGCAGCAGAGCCGGGGGCGAGGAAGAGGAGGTGGAGGAAGCAGAGCCCAGGGAGGCAGAGCAGCAGCTGCAGGGTGAGTGTGCCAGGGGAGGTGCAGGGTGGAGAGGGAGCACTCTGGAGGCACTGGCAGCGGCTGTGCCACCCACCCACGGGCAGGGAGGAGGGGGAACAGAACTGGAGCTGGTGGAGGCCCCCAGCAGCACCAACATGGAGCTGCTGGCAGAGGTGGAGGCAGATCTGCAGGTCTGGAGTGAGGCTGGATCCCCAGGGACACAGCAGGGAGGGGATGTGGATCCAGGTGTGCAACCAGAGAAGGAGAAGCCAGAGGTGGGGCTGGGAGAAGAAATGGGGGCTGCTGCAGTGCAGAGTGAGGGTCCTTCCCCTGCAGAAACACCTGTGGGCAGCCCAGACTTATGTGGGCAGTTCCCAGGTATGTCTCAGGCACTGGTGGAGGCAGATCTGCAGCTCTCTGGAGATGTCAGCCCAGAAATCCCCCAGAGAGGGAAGGAGGAAAGAGCTGTTCAGCTCCAAGAGAATGAGGAAGAGGATGGGGCACAAGGACAGGGTGATCATGGGCTGCCACACGAGCCAGTGCCTCATCCCAGTGGGGTGACCTTGGGTCAGGGAGAGGGGCCTGGTGCAGGGCTACAACCAGGGGCAGAGGCTGACAGCCTGGACACTGCTGAGGCCCAGAGCAGTGGTGCCAATGTGCAGCTGACTGCAGAGGGGGATGAGCTCAGACTGAGCCCGGGAGGGAGCACAGGGGCAGATCTGCAGCCCTTGGGTGAGGCTGGATCCTCAAGGACAGAGCAGAGAGGGAGATTGGATCCAGAGGTGCAGCCCTTGGATCAGGGGGATAAAGAAGAGTTGGTGGAAAGGAAGGCAGAGGATGCCCAGGAAGATATGATGTTCCATGAGGTTGCCAGCCCAGGGGCTCCATGGGGAGGGGATGGTGAAAGAGCTGTTCAGCTGGAGGAGGACAATGGGGCACAAGGACAGGGTGAGGATGAGCTGCCACACGAGCCTGAGCTTGATGTGCACAGATCAGGAGTCAAGCAAGGTGAAGGAGCTGGTGAAGACATGCAAGCACAGGAAGAGGCTGAAAGCTTGCATACAATAGGGGGTCAGAGCACTGGTGCCAATGTGCAGCTGATTGCAGAGGGGGATGAGCTCAGACTGAGCCCAGGAGGGAGCACAGGGGCAGATCTGCAGCCCGTGGGAGAGGCTGGATCCTCAGGGACAGAGCAGGGAGGGAGTGTGGATCCAGAGGTGCAGCCCCTGGATCAGGTGAATAAAGAGGACATTTTGGAAATGGAAGTAGGGGATGCCCAGGCAGATCTGCAGCTGTGTGTGAATCTCAGCCCAGAAACCCCGTGGGGAAGGGAGAAAGGAGTCGCTGTTCAGCTGGAGGAGGAAGAGGATGGGGCACAAGGACAGGGTGAGCACGGGCTGCCACACGAGCCAGTGCCTCATCCCAGTGGGGTGACCTTGGGTCAGGGAGAGGGGCCTGGTGCAGGGCTACAACCAGGGGCAGAGGCTGACAGCCTGAACACTGCTGAGGCCCAGAGCAGTGGTGCCAATGTGCAGCTGGTTGCAGAGGGGGATGAGCTCAGACTGACCCCGGGAGGGAGCACAGAGGCAGATCTGCAGCCCCTGGGTGAGGCTGGATCTTCAGGGACAGAGCAGGGAGGGAGACTGGATCCAGAGGTGCAGCCCTTGGATCAGGAGGATAAAGAAGACATTTTGGAAAGGAAAGCAGAGGATGCTCAGGAAGATATGATGTTCCATGAGGGTGCCAGCCCAGAAGCTCCATGGGGAGGGGATGGTGAAAGAGCTGTTCAGCTGGAGGAGGAGGAGGATGGCGCACAAGGACAGGGTGAGGATGAGCTGCCACACGAGCCTGAGCTTGATCTGCACAGATCAGGAGTCGAGCAAGGTGAAGGAGCTGGTGAAGACATGCAAGCACAGGAAGAGGCTGAAAGCTTGCATTGTATTGAGGCGCAGAGCACTGGTGCCAATGTGCAGGTGATTGCAGAGATGGATGAGCTCAGACTGAGCCCGGGAGGGAGCACAGGGGCAGATCTGCAGCCCTTGGGAGAGGCTGGATGCTCAGGCACAGAGGAGGCAGGGAGTGTGTATCCAGAGGTGCAACTCCTGGATCAGGGGGATAAAGCAGCGTTGGTGGAAGGGGAGGCAGAGGATGCCCAGGCAGATCTGCAGCTGTCAGAGGGTCTCAGCTCAGGGTCTTCATGGGGAGAAGAAATTGGAACAAATGTTCAGATGGAGGAGGAGGATGGGGCACAAGGACAGGGTGAGGATGAGCTGCCACACGAGCCTGAGCTTGATCTGCACAGATCAGGAGTCGAGCAAGGAGGGGAGGCTGATGAAGACATGCAAGCACAGGAAGAGGCTGAAAGCTTGCATACAATAGGGGGTCAGAGCACTGGTGCCAATGTGCACCTGGTTGCAGAGGGGGATGAGCTCAGACTGAGCCCGGGAGGGAGCACAGGGGCAGATCTGCAGCCCTTGGGTGAGGCTGGATCCTCAGGCACAGAGCAGGGAGGGAGTGTGGATCCAGAGGTGCAGCCCCTGGATCAGGGGGATAAAGCAGAATTGGTGGAAGGGGAGGCAGAGGATGCCCAGGCAGATCTGCAGCTGTCAGAGGGTCTCAGCCCAGGGTCTTCATGGGAAGGGGAGTGGGGAAGAGCTCTTCACAATGAGGAGGATGGGGCACAAGTGCAGGTTGAGAATGGGCTGCCACAGGAGTCTGTGCTTGCTCCAGAAGGAGCACGAGGCCGACAGGGAGAGGGGGCTGGTGCAGGAACACAGCCAGAGGCTGAAAGGCTGCACACACTGGAGGCCCAGAGCAATGATGCTGCTGTGCAACTCTTCACACATCAGCAGATTCCCAAATCAGGCTCAGGAGGGAGCACAGGGGCAGATCTGACACCTCTGGGTGTAGCTGGGTTGTGGGAAGGGGAGCAGAGCCTGACTCTAGGTTTGGAGGCAGTTCTGGGTGCATCTCCCACTGCAAACCCGTGGGAAGGAGCTGCTGCTGCAGATGTGCTCCCTGCAGCTGAGGTTGCCTTTTGTCCTGAGCCTGCCCCTGCTGCAGAGGGCTCTGGTCTGGAAGCAGAGCTGGGAGCATGCCTTGGTCCTGAGGGGCAGATTCTGGAGGCACAGGAATTACTGCAGGGAGAGAGGGCTCCTGCAGAGGGGAAGCCTCTGGATGGAGCTCACGGTCTGGAAGTGGCACAGGGAGAGAGGCTGGAGGCAGGGGTGAGGAATGGAGTGAGAACTCAGGGTCTAGGACTAAACCAGGGCCATGATGATGCTGATTTGGCCTCCCTGGTCTCCGAGATGCTGTCACAACTCAGCTCCCTACAGCTGGAAACGATGATGCAGGAGGATGTTCTCATTCCAGATGTGTGGCGGCTTTGTGCTCCAGGACAGGCAGCCCAAAGGGAGCTTCAGGAGCAGGTTTCAGCACAGGGACATGAGGGGAGGCTTCACATGGTGGCCCAACAGCCAGAGGGGAAGACACCACCCACGATGGAACCCAAGCACACGGCTGCTGGACCTGCTGAGCATCCGAAGCAAGAGGTGCCACCAGCATCAACACTGCACAAGGCAGTGCAACCTGGAGATACTGGGAGTGATCAGCTGGGGGTGGTCCTCAGAGAAAACTCACTGGGGCAAAGGCAGCTCTTGGGAGAACAGAGCAAAGACCGCAGCGTTGGTCAACGAGAGAAGATGCAAGAGTTTGGTCAGAAGATGAGCCAGGAAGGTGAGCCCAGCTCAGGAGAGCCAGGGGCTGTGACTGCAGGTGGCACAGGAGCTGCCCCACAGAGTTATCCTAAAGATCCTCTGGACCCAGACCACCTCTACAACGTGCTGTTCGTTGGGGACTCCCACGTGGGCAAAACGTCCTTCCTGTACCGTTTGCACGCCGACACCTTCAACCCCCACCTCACGGCCACAGTGGGTAGGTCTCCCCCAGCCCCTCTCCAAGCACTGCCTTAGATCACAGCTGCAGTTCCCCTTCCTCCACCCCACAAGCTGCTGGAGGTCCCCACAGCCTGTTACAGCTCACACCAAGCGTGTTGTACAACCAGTCCCCAGGGGCCAAGCAGAACCACCAAGTGCCCACGCCTGGGTGCTCATGGGCAGGAAATGCTGCTCCTCCTTGTCCTTCCTAGCAACAGTGGCCCAGTGCTTTCCTCTCTGCTTTGCCTTTCAGCTCCATTCTCCTTTCTTCACCAGCCTGGTTTTATTCATCATGAGATGAGAGACCTTCCCAAAATCCAGTGATTAAACATCTAAAAGCCAGAGATTCACTTGGGACCAACCCCTGGAGCTGCAGCCTCACACCACCCTGCACCACATTTCTTCTCCATCCATCTTCTGTCACACGGCAGAGCTCTACAGTATCAAAATATCCTCTTTTGTGTCTTCCAGGACTGGATTACCAGATCAAAAACCTCGTTGTGGATAACAGGCGCTTTGCTCTCCGCCTGTGGGACTCAGCTGGTCAGGAAAGGTGAGGTGCTGTGCTGCTTAAGGACACAACCTGGGGTTTTTCCCTGTAGTTTAGGGGCAATTGATACCCTTTGCTTTGCTAAGCAAAGGTGAGATTGCTCAAGGAGGGACTCTGTACAGTATGTGATCTGATAAAGCACAATAAAGGAAGTAATTAAGATAAAACTGGCACTCAGGCTGTGCCCGTGGCCCCCGCCATCAGGACAGGAGCCAAATCTGGGGGCTGCCTATTTTGTAGACGTGCATTCCCACCTTTTCCACTAGGATTTCCCATCACTCCTAGGCAGAACCTCCTTAGGCCGTCCTGGTGATCACCCAAACTGCCCGCAGGTACCGCAGCATGACCAAGCAGTTCTTCCGGAAGGCGGACGGGGTGGTGCTGATGTACGACATCACCTCCCAGCACTCCTTCTCCGACGTGCGCTACTGGCTCAGCTGCATCCAGGTGGGCGCGGTCCCGAGTCCTGGGGCTGACAGGAGTGGCCAAGCCCTTGGGAAAGGCTATTCTGCATTACTTTCATTATAAAATGATTTTTTTTCCGAGGAGGATTTAAGGCAGATACAAATGATTTTCACACGCTGGCAGTATTTCACTGGGTAATTTGTTGATAGAACCAGTAGAGTAATGATCAACTCTTAAACAATTAAAAACTAGTGCAAAGGAATGGAAAGCATTGTGTTTACATCAAGAATAATCCACTTTGAGTCCTAGGGAATGGGAGGTTATTCAAGGCCTATTAAAAACTTATTTTCAGAGATTTCCAGTTGACGCAAAGCCAGTGTTTAAAAATGCTGAAATAAAATAGGATGTTGCCTCATTTGGTGCCAGTAAATCCCAGCCAGAGCACCTTCAGAGGGCTGCTGCAGTTGAGCACAAAGTGAATCCCTTACAAGTGTAACTCATCCAGTGCTCTGTCATGTTAATAACACAGGCAAATGATTTAAGGGAAAAAAAATCTTAAATGCTGTTGAACTTATTCAATAATTTAAAGTTTTCTTGTTAGCCCAAATCTGTGTGTGTCAGTCATGGTATTCCAGGATATGTGTAGACAGTGTGGCCAGCTGGGATTCAAGGAAGATGTTGAAGCTGTTCTGATCTTCCCTTCTTGCTCACTCAGGAAGGGGCAGAGGATGGAGTTGCTGTTCTGCTTCTTGGGAACAAAACCGACTGTGCTGCCCAGAGACAGGTCCCCACAAAGGAGGGTGAATGCCTGGCCAAGGTAGGTGGTGAAGCACAGCTACCCAAACGAGGCAGGGACAGCTAAGGATCAACACCACCAACCCCAAGAGCTGAGAAAGGGGAAAGCCCTTAATTTACCCCTCATAAATTAAAATGTTCTCTGAATCCAACTCTCACCATTCCCTGCCTTGCTTTCCCTTTGTCTCTTTAATTTTGCCTCAGCACCATCCCAGTAAATTGGTTTATGGAATTGGATTTGTAAATTAAAACATTTTCAGCTCTACTTATTTTTGCTGTGAAGTGTTGAGTATCTTCCCAGCATCATAAAAATAATAAACCCACTGAGCATTATCCCGGATTAAAGATCCTGAAATGATCAAAGTTTGAGTAATCTCTTCACATATAGATGGCTAATACAAATTAGATGAGGAGAATGAGAAGAATCTCACCTTTACTGACTTAATTTTAAACCTTATGGGATTTGGGCCAGGATCCATGGACCAGTTTTGCTAATGGAGATGAGGAATGGATGCTTATTTTCCCACACTGGTAGGGAGCAAAAGAGTTGGGAACATCTACTTATCCTCTCTCTGTGTTTGCTCCCATGACCAGAAGGCCTCACAAATTCTTCTGTCTGCAGTCATCCTTTTCCTTGGTATTACAAGCTGGTGTCATAGCAAGCAGAAAATCTGGATTTCACCTTCATGTTCCAGTAAATAAGATATTGAGTTATTTGTTTCCTTGATTTCCCCCTGTTTCCCCTTGACTGGGACTGTCCCATGGCTATTTATTCCCACATTAAACTATTCCAGTGCAAGAACATTACATTTCTACTCGGGGTTTGTGTTTTCCAGGAGCACCAGCTCATGTTTTATGAGTGCAGCGCTGCCTCGGGCCACAACATCTTTGAGTCCATGGTCAGCTTCACCAGGTGAGCCATGTGCTTGGATTTTTCCACCTGTCCTCAATTCAATAGGCTTCCTCCCTGCTTTTTTTGACTCCAAATACTGGATGTCACATCACCAGAGGCTCCATGCCCAAATGTCAGGGAAAACTCAGGAAGCTCATGCTTGGATGAGCATTTAGCACTGCCCTAACTTGTCTCCTGAATAACCAGCATTGCAAGGAGGTGAATAAAACCCTTTTGGGGATGCTGCTGATTTCACCCTGGCTTGACTGAAACAAGTTCTGTCTGTGATTTGATTTAGGCTGGAATTTTTAGTAGCATCCACAGCTCTCGGATCATGTGGAACTGGAAGGATCCTGACTCCTTTCAGCCCTGCTGAGCCTCTTGTACCAAGGCTTGTCGAAACAAACAGCACAGCAATACAAAATTTGTGGGAAATACCCAGCTATTTTGCTTCCTTTTCTCCCAGGTTGCTCAAAGTTCGTGAAGATGAATTGAAAAATAAGGCAGAAGAAGTACCAAAGGCACCTGAGAAGAAAAAGGGCTGCTGCTGGTGATGGACAGCCACCCCACACACTGATCTGAAACTGCACCAACAGCCAGAAAAGCCTAAAAATAGTCCTTGGACACCTTCTCTTTTCCTGTGTGTCTTCCTTGCCTGATCTTCCTTGGATGCTGAGAGCAAAAGCTGCTGTGGGAGACCCCCTGCCATTCCACCAGCCCTCCAAAATACTTCTCAGGGAACTTTACCACTTTCTTTTGGAGACCAAAAACAGGCCAAGAAAAGAGGCAGAAAAGGAACCCAGCTGGGTCTGAGATGCTGCATGATACTGGAAGCAGCAGGGAGTAACCCCAAGCCTTGGGAGAGAAGAAATAAAAACCTGAAGCCATCCAAGTGTATAAACCAAGGGGGTTTAGTGCTGTTGGTGCTCTAGGCTGTGGGGACTTCTCCTCTGGCTTTGCAATCTGATTGGATTTGATCAGGAACAATGAGATATTCAGTATATTCTAAATGCACTTAAATCTCTCCAATGACACAAGGTAAAGCTAGTTTTCCCCTTCCATGGTTTATCCTGCCAGTGAGCAGTGACTTGACAGAAACTACTGAATATTTTGCTCAAAATAAATTCAAAAGCCCCAAGAGCATATCCAGGATAAAAAGAAGATAAATGCTTGCAAAAGATTTTTTTCATTGTGTTGTCCCCAGAGCAGAACTCTGGATTACTGCAACAAATTTCAGGCTGGGCAGAGAAGAATGAGCTGCTGCATCCTGCCCTTCTGCTCTTTGTGAAGTGCTGAATTGGTTTTAAACCCAGCTTGAAAAGTCTAAATAAACACGTCACAATTTCAAGGTGGTTTTTTTATCTTTTCACAGCTTGATTGAACTATATTTTTGCAGAAGAAAAAGACATACAGACTAAATAATGGTTTATCCTGCCAGTGAGCAGTGACTTGACAGAAACTACTGAATATTTTGCTCAAAATAAATTCAAAAGCCCCAAGAGCATATCCAGGATAAAAAGAAGATAAATGCTTGCAAAAGATTTTTTTCATTGTGTTGTCCCCAGAGCAGAACTCTGGATTACTGCAACAAATTTCAGGCTGGGCAGAGAAGAATGAGCTGCTGCATCCTGCCCTTCTGCTCTTTGTGAAGTGCTGAATTGGTTTTAAACCCAGCTTGAAAAGTCTAAATAAACACGTCACAATTTCAAGGTGTTTTTTTTTAAATCTTTTCACAGCTTGATTGAACTATATTTTTGCAGAAGAAAAAGACATACAGACTAAATAAATAAGAATACCAGTCCTATATTTTAGTATTTTGTATGTTCCATGTAAATTCCCAGCAGTTCAACAGGTGTATTTAAAGACTGTGCTTATGTGCAGAGTTTGCAGAAATAATTCTGCCTAGCTGGGTTTGCTTTGTGTTGCCATTATTATTTATATGTACATAATGGCAAAGCATAATAGTAGCCAGTTTGTGCTTTAGCAAAATAAAGTGACAACAGGAGTTGGGCTTCTAGCAACACTATATATTTCAGATATAATTATATATATTTCATATATATCAGCTTCACCAGCCAGGGTTGAACTTTGCAGTGACTCTGGAATTTCTAGGTCTTTTAGGGATGATTTATTTCTCCTGCACACACAATTTATCACTCCAGTAGCTCTGTACCCTAAATCTCCATCCCCTGTGTCTCCCCCCAGCCTACCTCAAGTCATTCTCCTTTTAGCTCCATCATTAAAACACTTTATTTTCTTGATGCAATATATTTAATGCTCCCATTCTCTGTCCATCCCTCTTTAACATATTTCTTTATGTTAGTGGTGGAGCAGGTCCTCAGGAAGGATTTATGTGGTTCAGCTCAGAGCTGTGCCTGGGGGGGTTTGGTATTTGGGATATCTGGAACTGCTTTTTTCTTATTGTTTGGGACCCTCTTCATTCTTTCTTCTTTTATTTAAAAATAATATAAATCCAAGTGTACTTTGCAAATTTGATCCATAATAAGAGAAGCGTAATTTCAGTCTGATCAACCTAAAAATTTTCTACTGGCTCTGTAACACTTCCCCGTGTAAAGCCACCCATGAGATCAGCTTTTATTTTGCCTAAATATGCTGGGATTGCACATGGAAGATACTGCTTGGCCGAGTGGCAGCAGGATTGTGCAAGAAACAGTTTTATTTGATTCCAAAATGAGGAGTTGATGCTGTGGAGGCTGAATTTTCCCATTAGATGGCAGCAGCTGCAGCAATTCCTCCCCACTGCAATGTTGCTGCTGCGGGGAAGGACCGGGGAGCTCCAACAGGGCCCAAAGTGGGAGCTGAAAAAAAAAAGCCTTCCCAGAACAGCAGGCAGAAAGAAATATCTATCTTATTTCCCTGGAAGTCATCTCTAGTAAAAAAAAAGGATGGAGTTTATGCCCAAAGCATGAGTTACTACACTCCAAACCACCCCGCCAAACTTGGAAATGAATTTTTCATTGCCAGGCTGGGAGAAACACCGGGCAGGCAATAAATCACACTGGAAAACACGGGCAGCATGTTGCACTTGAAAGCATCTTTCACCTTTAATAATTCACATCCCAGCAGACATTCCCACTCCGGGATCAAAGGCACCGCTCCTTTGCAAGCCATTAAACGCCTGCACGAGTATTTGGAGGAGGATCAAGGCCTGGGATATTAATAGCAAGAGGGAAATGCATACTTGTTTGGACCACAGGATGCTTTTTTTTTTCTTAAATCAGGTGGTTTCCTTTTAAGCTGTTTGAAATTCCTCAAGGCGCTCCACAAGAATTAGAGGAGCTGC